AAATCGATATTTGTAGACATCTATAAAGTTTAACTTCGAATGGAGCAAAAAGAAATGAGAGATTACTATATATATATATTATATATATATATATATATATATATATATATATATATTTTATATTTATATATATTATATATTTTATATATATATATATATATATATATACATATTTAAGTAAATGTTCTGTTCATAATAAACCGTATTACCAACATTTACCGGCCTGAATGTCCGAGAAATTTTCATAGAAAAATATGCGTCCTCCGACAGGAATCGAACCTGTATCCCATACGGAACCGTTATATAACCTGACGTGCCTTAATCGATTGAGCCACAGAGGAAAATTTATCGGGCATTCAGGCCGGTAAATTTTGTTAATACTGTTTATTATGAACAGAACATTTACTTCAATATTTTTATCTATAAAAAGAACGTATAAACATAAAAAAAATGTCTTAAATAATTGTCGGACTTTTTTTTATATATATATATATATATATATATATATATATGTGTGTGTGTGTGTGTGTGTGTGTGTGTGTGTGTGTGTGTGTTAAAAATGTATGACAAAGTGCAAAAAGTTTTCTTGTGACATTTTTCGTCCTTTTGGATATAATCGGACTAAACTTATGTTGGTGCGACTGCACATGCGCCCGAACGAGGGATGCTGGGAATTTTTAATTATTATTTTTTTTTTTAATCGAGTCGATTTCATCTAGATTCTTTTTCTTTTTCTTTCCATCACTTTTGCTATTAGATATCCCATACCACGATAATAGAAGTTCTTCGAGAAATGGTAAAATATCGAAACAGCCCGGGCGCAAATTTACTGTAGATGACCTTGCGATCAAAGTTCTAGAGACTTTTACGTCTTACAAGATTTCTTGAATATGCAGCCCGATAGACGAGATACATATTGTTTAAAATAAAATAAAATATCGTATCCACTTTAATAACGTTTGAACACACACGCATATCTCTATCTATAAAAGGCAGGATGTGTGTGAGTGTGTAACGAATGCACGGCGGCAATTTTCGACGGATTTGCACCAAAATTTGCATGCACATGCTCCAAGTTAGCGGGAAGGCCAAGACCGACTCTGCATTTCCCAACTCCCATCGATAGTGGAAACAATTGATTTTTTCATGCTTCTACGGCAATTTTCATGTAGTTTGCGGCCATTTTCTACTAACCAGTGAGAGCCTATAGCTGGCTGCCACGAATAAGCAGGAAGATTCTATTGGCCAGCGTGAGAGCCAACAGCTGACTGACACGAACGTTATCTAGCATGCTAGCATTCGTCGCAAGTGGGAAAAATTTAAATCTGCATGGCATTTTACTCCAATTGGCTCATTCGCTTGCTCAACGTTGATTCTGATTTTGCAGAACTGGGTTGGGTGTGAAAAAATATTTGTTAACATTCTTTTTTCATTCGGTTTTTCCAGTTACGAGTCCTTTTTTAAAGCTGATCGTTTTGTGTTCATTTTGTTTATTTCTTTTTTCGTAACAGATTTAATGTTTAGTATAGAGCTTAGAAAAAAATTCGCAGTGTGAGATAGACAAGAAGTAAGGCATGTAGCAACATCAGCACGGCAAAAGGGCACTCCTTTAAAGGCAAGGAAGGGCAAAAATATTTTAAGTCAAGTGATAGCGATTACTGTATGAGTCGTACGATTTTTGAATCAAGCACGGGCAACGCCGGGCCAATATGCTGTATATATATATATATATATATATATATATATATATATATATATATGAAATGTGTAGGTTAAAGAAATAACATACACGTACAAATACTTGAAACAGGGATATAAGTATGTATTAGTGAATATGCATAATATCCAACGTCGATGGTACGGAGTTTCATGCAGTCAATGTAATCTTCAGGTGTGGAGATTCTGACCGTTAGCTACGGCGTTCTCGTGATGATGATTCATAATTGTGTCTGCAAAGTTGTCTATTTAAAAGATAAAATTAACTATTAATAATTTAATATGATTATTTTACTAATATTAATACTTAATTTTATATTTTGAATATTCATATATATATATATATATATATATATATATATATATATATATATATATATATATATATATATATATATATATACTCGTAATCAAATGTTTTTTTAATTTCATTTGTCAAATTTCTTTTAAAACTTTCTCAGGATTCTATATCCAAAAGAAAAGAAAAGAAAGTATTAACTTTGAACCGTTTAATTTGATAATAATAATAATAATAATGATAATAATATATACACATGAACATCGGCTAACGCACTGATAATGTTAAAGTAATAAAACACACAAACGTATATATATATATATATATATATATATATATATATATATATATATATATATATATATATATATATATATATACCCAAGTATAGGTTTGTTGTATAAAGAATAAATTCAATAACCAATAAATACTATTCTTAAAAAGAGTGCTCAATACAGATTAGACCAAACATAATTATTTATTCGAAAATAAATTACATATATATATATATATATATATATATATATATATATATATATATATATATATATATATTGTGAAAAATATAAGATATTAAAAAATTAAAATCTTCAGACACACTGTGGCTTGCGTATTAATATTCTTTCGTTTTTATTATTATTTCAGTTAAATTCCTCTACTAGTTTCGGCCAACATGGCCATCTTCAGGAGAAAAAAAATCTGCTTGCTGGTAGCAGTGAACTACAAAATGAATGACTTGATGGAATATATATATATATATATATATATATATATATATATATATATATATATTCTGAACATATATATATATATTCTGATTTTTTCTCCTGAAGATGGCCATATATATATATATATATATATATGGCCGTAAATATACTGTTTAATGATAAAAACAGAACAATAATTAACGTTTAAATTTATATATATATATATATATATATATATATATATATATATATATATATATAAACGTTATTTTTAATGGCTATTCATATTTGAGTAGATGTTCTGTTTTTATTATGAAACAGTATATTTATTTATATTTACCGACCTAAAAGTAAACGACTTCCAGAAATCCTCGAACCTGCGCCATCTAGGAGAAACCATCATTAGATCTGACGTGCTTTGACCTCTTGACCCCCGAACCTTTTGATCATGCAAAGACCGAATAATCCTTTTGAAGGCATATCTTTCCCGATAAATATCTTCTCTGTTTCGTATCCTAACGTGAACGAAAACAGTTTTTTGGGAAATGGATTAAATCGGACATATTTTTCATTTATCTAAACAAATTAAACAAATTTAAACAAAGTACTTAAACGTCGTTTTTTCTGGACACTCATATTGATATAGATGCACGACTGTTCGTACTTTGCTTTGATCAGGAGTTGCTACGTGACCGAGAGGTCAAGTAACGTTAGATCTACTGACGCAGGTTCGAATCTTGCCACAGGGTGCAAATTTTTGTAACAAGATTTCCCGAATATTCAGGCTTGTAGATTGTTTGGGGCCACCCACCTTCTCATCGGAATGGACTGATCTCTCTACTACTAATAGGACTGTTCTATAGAGTTCTGGGGAGATCAGGTGACCATCACACTTCCGTCTCTCTACCGAAAGATACAGTTGGACTTTATACTCTTTCTGATTGTTACTGACTAACCTGCGTTTGTTTGACTACTAATCTCTCTGTTGTAAATACCTCTTCAGATATACCAGTATTTTTCCCTACGTATGTGTTTGTCTTTATTTCAATACACGCACGGGGAAACACTCAACATCTCAACATAGATGTAAATAAGTACACTGATTAATAACGCAAACAGAACATTTATTCCAGAGTATCCATAACCTGGCAGGATTCCAGCTGATTGGATCGTTTTTAAGATGAGTATAAAACGAACAATGGCGTCCGGCCTTGAAAAATCGAAGTCTTAGTTTTTAACGAACAACGGCGCCGATAAGATATGCATGTCTCTCTCAGCCGCGTGACAAGTTTCTCAGAGATAGATATTAAACTTACACTCAAATTGTCGTAGAAAGATTGTGTTGGGCATGTTATCAAAGTGTGCGTGTTTACATCAGTTGCGCCTGCCTAATTCGATATCCAGATCAATGGTTTCGCCATGATATTTTAATGGTTCTTTTTTTTTAAACGTAGTACTGAAACACTGACAGCTGACAACAAGTACGTGATAGGCTGAGTGAGAGCGATTACCAACTACTAGAGTTTAATGACCTCATGTGATCGCTCCCAGACGCTTATTCACGTGTGTGGAGATCGAAAACAAGAAAACAGGCGCTGCTCCCTAATTTTCTCTCTTTCACTCTCTCTCTCTCTCTTTCTCTCTCCTCCCCCCCTAAATATGGTAGCGAAAACCTAATTATTGCCTAGTCTGGAATTTGGTCTTTTTGGTTTCTGCTTTGAACTTTGAACTTGTCAGATTTAGTTGCGATAGATGTTGTATATTCTTAAGGGACCGACTTTGAAAAAAAAAAAAAAAGGGTTAAACTCTCGGAAAGATATGGTTAACTCAAAAAGGAAAATGGCGGGAAAGTAAGATACGCAAATGAAAGAAATAGAAGAAGTAGAAAATGAAGAAAAAAGGAAAGAGGTATTGGTTATGACGAAGGAAAAAAAGAAAAAAAATGAGAAAAAATTTAAAAATGGAAAAAAGAAAAAAAATGAGAGAGAAATAGAGTAAAAAGAAAAGCAGAAGAAGAAAAAGAAGATACGGGAGTAAAAGGAGAAATGAAGAGAAAGAGGTAAAAGAAAATAACGCAAAATAAAAGAAGAAAGACAAAACAAAAAAAAAATAAAGAAAGAGAAAGAAAGAAAAAGAAAACTAAAAAGAAAGGGGTTAATATAAAGAATAAAAAAACGTGACAGAAACATTGAATGAAAAAGAAAAAATTGAAATATGTAATATGAATGAATGTGTCAAAAAAAGAAAGAAAAAGGATCCTATAAAGAAAAAAACTATTGTTAATACAAAGAATGGAAAAGAGTGAGAAAGAAAAAGAAAGAATGGATAATAACGAAAAACTGAAAGCGAGAAAGGAAATATGGAAAGAAAAGAAATAAAGAATGTGTATAAAAAAGACCAAAAAAAGAGAGAAATAATTTTAATAAAAAAATTAATAAGAGTATTAAAGAAAAAAAAAAGATGGTTTCAGAAAGAAAAAGAGAAAAGATTGTGAAAAGAAAGCGTGAAAGAAAAAGAAAGAATGACGTTAAATGGAAAGAAAGAAATGATGAAAGGAAAGGAAAGGAAGAAAGAAAGTTCGTGAAAGGAAAAGAAAGAAAGAAAGAAAGATCGTGAAAGGAAAGAAAGAATGATCTTGAAAGGAAAAGAAAGAAAGAAGTATCGTCAAAAAGAAAGAAAGAAAGAAAAATCGTGAAAGGAAAAGAAAGAAAGAAAGATCGTGAAAGGAAAGACAGAATGATCTTGGAAGGAAAAGAAAGAAGTATCGTAAAAAGAAAGAAAGAAAGAAAGAAAGATCGTGAAAGGAAAGAAATGCTATAATGATCTTGAAAGGAAGGAAAGAAGTATAGTGAAAGGAAAGAAAGAAAGAAAAAAGAAAGAGTCAAAGAAAGATCTTTTAAGGAGAAATTAAGTGAGAAAGAAAAATAATGATATTGAACTGAAAGAAAGAAACGAAGAAAGAAAAAAAGAAAGGCTAATCGTGAAAGGAAAGAAATAAGAATGAAAGAAAGATCAGTAAAAAATAAAGAGTGAAAAAAAAAGGAAAATCACGAGAAGAAAAAAAGAAACTTATAGACGGAGAAATTGAGAATGAAATTATCTTGAAAGAAAGAAAGAAAGGAAGAAAAAAAGAAAGAAACAAACAAACAAACAAACAAAACTAACAAAACTAAAAGAAAAACAAACAAACAAAACTAAAAGAAAAAAACTGACTATCAAGCAAATGGCGATGAATGTTAAACAAACATAAAAACTGAAATGGAAGCTTTTTCATTTTCTTGTCTGGCCTCTCCCTTCCGACCGTTCTCCTCTTCTTCTTCTTCTTCTTCTTCTTCTTCTTCTTCTTCTTCTTCTTCTTCTTCTCGTCCTCCACGTTGGATATGCTTTTAGCGTTAATCTAATTGCCATCTTTGTTCGGTTGGCTAGCAAACTGACTTCATCACCGGCTATAAGTCAAGCTATTTCTTTGACCTTCATCAGCTGATCCCTCCATGTCATATTATAGAAATCCAATTCTTCGTTCCCATCCCAAACATGGTTACGTTTATCTTTTTGGTCCCCAATCCTAAAGCAAAAGAAGAATAAAAAAAAAACGTCTCTTTGATAATTTTATGGCAAGAACTTGTGGAGGGGGCTCAAGAGTTTGGATGCCAGGGCTTCTTCTTCCTCCTCGTACGGCGTCTCTTCAGGATGACGGTTCTCCACAACTTCCTATCCTTCGCAACGTGTCTTTTTTTTACTATTCCTTCTCCTCGCTGTTCTGCTGGCCATTTACACAAACTAGTTATATAGGCTACTGACTGCTTTCCTTTGTCGCTCTCGCCTTAAATATATCCTGCGAAGCCTCCTTTTCTCAGTATCTGTCTTAGAGATTTCAACTGTCTCTTTCAGAATTAACGCATAATTCTCTATTTCGCTATTTACATTATTCGGACTATTGTCCCCATCTTTGTCGCCATATTTATTACAACGTTTCGGCCGTTGTACGCTCCTGCCTTCTTCAGGTGGTTGGAATGTCGAACTGAACCCTTTATTTCGCTCACTGGGGTAGACTGTTCTCGTTCCACGTGCCATGTTTTAATGGGTGTCAGTTATCGGTTATCTCCTGTTAATTCCCCTCTCCAAGTTCTCCACTACGTTAACCGGGTATTGAACTCACACTCTTTGGGTCCTCTCCTTGGATCTTACCAACACCTTTATCCACTGTGCCACGTGTCCTTGAGGCCGAAACGTTGGAATAAATGTGGCGACAATAGTCCGAATAATGTAAATAGAGTACATAATAACTCATCTCAGAAATATAGATAGAGTGTCTATTTCGTTTCGATTTTATTTAAAACCTTCCCGTTGTTCCCAAGCTCCGTCCATGGTATTCTCAGTATGCTTCTGTAGAACCATATCTTTGTTTACCTCAAGTCTCTTCTTCATCTGTGATGAGATTGTCCAGCTTACACTGTCATATTTAGAAACAGGAATATTTCGTTTGATATTACATAGCAGTTCAGGACTTTTTTTTTTCGAACGAAATTTTCCCGTTTCTTAATATGGAAAGTAGAACAATTTACATAGCTGCGTTAATGTATCTGGTTCAGCGATAGCTGAACGTTTGATTCGAAACGGACAGTGCGTTCGGTCTTATAGCCCGGACATGTTATCAGTGCTGATAAAGGCTGATACTAATTATCCTTTGAAGGTTCAGAAATCAGTATATATTAAGTCCCACCAGCCATCTCTCTGTAAACAGGTGGATAGTTTTAAATCCTTTAATGTTATATTTTT